CTAACTATAGTTATAAGTATGAATAAGAGCTAAACTATCTGTATAAATTGAAATTGAAGAAGACAAAGGATTATTAATAGGATAAGAAGGAGAGCAAAAATTTTAGCATTGGTGAAGTTAGCCTAAACTACAGGAATAGCAGTTGAGAATTTTATAACTAATGATTCATATATCAAACAGAATGTAAAACTTAAATATAATGTCAAAAATGATAAGATGAATTTGTGAGAACTGTCTGTATAAAATGTAAAAGACTTTTTATTTTGAAGTAATCAATAAAAACCAATTAAAGATGAACTAACATTATTATTTGAAAATAAACTAGAAATAGTAATAAAGGGTGAAGCATTAAAAATCAGATTGTTTATTAAGATAGTAGAAAGACATACTGTCATATAATATTGTTTTGCTTGGTTAATGATGGACCAAATATTTCTTTTAAGAAGGTATAGTTTATTATCATTAACAGAGATAAAATAGGTGACTTCTATAATCTGAGATAGATCATCAATAATATTACCATATGACCAAGCTATAGCTATATATTAAAATTTAAAATGGATTTCTGTGAGTTAAAAGAATATTCTAAATATAGAGAAATATGTTTTGCTTTTTGAAGTCTAATCTAGGATCATAGTTAAGAGCTGAGTTATTAATATAATATTAAATAGTAATTTTATAAAGGATAAAATAAGATTTAATAGCTTTTTTAATAATGTCTTAGTCAGGATAAGGTAGGTTGTAATAATTCTGTTCTGGAGATGTCTAGAAAGCAACCTAAGGATATTTTTTCATATCTTCAGAAGGAAATATAATGATAAATTCTTAAAGTGTAAAATTGTTGAGACAAAATTCTGATTTTGAGACAATTCGATTATATAGAATTCAGAAGAACAGTTTATTAAAAAACAAAAACCTATCCTAAAATAGCTCTGCTATTGAGTTTGCTGGCTTTGAGAGAAAGATCATAATATTTTATTAAAAATTTTCTTGATAACAAATTAGTCAAGAAATAGAGCTTTGCATTTTTTTAATAAAGGAATCTATTTCTTTTTCCATAAGATAATGATTAAAGAATCTTAGTGTCTCCTAAGATATGAAAATCAGAAGTTATAGAAATAGTTCTTTGAATTGAAAAAGGAGCCTGAAAGTAAAAAGTAAGCATATTATATAGAGGTAATTATCATAACTTAGATTATTTAATTATGTAGACCAACATATAATAGGATCATCAAGTAATCAGAAAAAATTTTGAAGTTGTTTGAAACGAATTTTAGTAGTTAATGAAAGGAGTGATCTAGAAGTATTCTCGTTAATAATTAAAGCAAAATGATATAATTTAAAATGCAATATATTAAAAGACAAATCATTAAATCTAAAAAATAACTTATTATAAAGAATGCTGTTAGAAGTATATTTGTTGAATTTGAGCTTATATTTGATGAAAGTATGAATGTGAGAGAACAAAGCAAAACATTCTTTTTGAGAAAAGATAATTAATTAAAAATGATATTTAAGTCAAGAAATGAGAACTTAATTATATAGATATCTTAATTATTTATTCATCATTGATTTGGTATTAAGTTTTAGAATAAAGTCAGTAATCTTATTTTCCAGTTATTATTTAATAATCTTTTTGTTATAAAGAGCAGAAATCCAGACTCCTAAATATCTTATTGATTTATTAGGTTTCTTTATAATTACAGTAATAAGATTATTTAAATAGTTACTATAAAATGAAATATCATTGGTAATTATTTTAGAGGTAAATATAAATGATTTTTCCAAATTGACTTGTATTGAATTGAGGTCAAAAAAGGATTGAGCTATGTCAAAAATGTTTTTAAGTTTAAAGCAACTATCTGTGATCCAGATAGTATCATCTATATATGCTGAATTAGGTATAGAGATTGAAATATTTGTGATATTCATTTTATTGATATCAAGTAATCATAAAATATTTAAAGTATAATTTAAATTAGATTTTTGAATGTGAGAGAGAAGAGAATTATAATAGATAACTCATAAAAGTAGTGAAATAACCTCTCTCTGATCAATGCCAATAAGAATATTATAAAAATAAGTATTACCTTATGTCATGAAGGTACTATTTTTTCAGTTAAGAAATAGATTAGTGTCAAGTATTATAAATGACTCTGGAATTTTTAATCTGCATAATGCTTTCTTAAGCATAAAAATATTAACTCAGTTGTATGCTTAGACATATTTTAAAAAAGGATGTATAAGTTTGATTTTTAATATTCTGACATTTTCTTTTTAAGCAGTAAAATTCTAAAATATTACTAACTATATGCAAAGGTTTGAGTATCGATTAATGTGACAAGTTAACAAAGTTAAAACTTTTGATAATCTTATTTTTAATAAATATATCCTGTAACTGTTGATTTAGTAATTTGATGAAGACTTTTTTAACTATTTCAAGTAGAATAATTAGTCTAATATTGTCAAGTTGGCAGTTTTATAGTTTAAGTTTTAATATTAGATATATAAAAGCTAAATTTTATTGTGTTTAATTAAGCATATATATATTATATTGTAAAGAAAGTTTTTACAATTAAGGTTGAGTTTTTTTAATAATTTATTAGAGATTTTGGCTGAATCAGGTGCTTTTGATCAGACAAATGTTTAATAATATTGTTCTATTCATCGATTGAAAGGAAGTCTATAAGAGTATTATAAGCATCATTAGAAATTTTTCGATAAGATTAAAATAACATTCCTAAAAAGGCCAATTTGAAGAAAAATCTACTGTAATAGAATTAGTAATGATTCTATTTGTAGAATTAGCAATAGTTTAAAAATGTTTAGTAGTATAAAATTTGATGACATTTGGTTCTAGAGCTAAATGTTGATTTTTTAATTGTTATGATCCACTAAGATTCTATTTAATACAATAATTTTATGATTTCTTTTTAAAAAAGAGTCAATTATTTTGTAGGAACATCTTTAAAATTATTTATACATCTTTGAATGAACTTTTGAATATGATTATTATTTTCTGTTTTATTAATCATAAGTTGTTATGCTTGTAATAGTTTCAAAATATCATATTTAAGTTCATGTAAGTATAGAAGGAGGTGATTGTTATTATAATAAGTGTCAATAGAACTAGAAAAAATAAAATGTTTAGCTGCAATTTTAAGAATAAATTTATAGTCATTAGAAGAATAGGAAAAGTATTGGAAGATGTAATATTAAGAAATAATAAGGATAAGAAAGAAATTTTATAATAATAATATAATTTTTGAATTTTATTAATTTGTTTTTAAATAGAAGAATTTAGATATGAGTAAAGAGAGTTGTGATGAATGGATATAGTTTGTTTAGAGATATATTTATTAGCTGATATCATAACTATCTGGATAAAGAACTTCTAAGCTTCGTTGATGAAGCTATTTGATATATACAAATCTTAAATTGAAATGTTATTGAATTTAACATTTTGTCTGAATAGCAGATCAACTTTGTCAGAAAAAAGATTCTAATAAAAGTAAGTAGTTTTATTATAAAGAAAGATTTGTTTTATAATTTTGTGTTATTTTTAGTAAGCTGTAGATAACTGCAAGAAAAAATTTTTTTGTAAAGAGTGATGAGTAAAAGATAATGATCAGTTAAATATAAATAATAGAATCATTTAAAATGTTAAAAGAGATGAAATTATATGAAAGATCAGTAGAGATGAATATATAATTAAAGTCTAGGTAGAGGGATATTATGTAAAAAATTCTGCAGCTGTTTTTGGATTTTAGATTTATATTTTTTACTTATATTAATATTGAAGTCTCATATTAAAACAATATAAAAATTATAATATAAATTTTCTGTTAAAATTTTTATTAATTTTTTTTGGACTTGAAAATGATAAAAAATCTTTTTTATCATTATAAGAAGTAGGTAAATAAACTTGAATTACTCAAAGTTTGAATTTGTTTTTGAATTAAAAGTCAAGATAAATGATGTTGATACTATGTGAAGTTAATCTTATTGCGCCGCAAAGATTGATGAATGATCAACGTTATTAACTTCTTTAGCATTTTTAACTTAATCAACATTTTTATTTAATTTATTTTATTCTTATATTTTATTATTATTATGTATTAAATTATTATCATCATTAAATTATAATTTATCTTTTATATTTATTTTATCGTTATAAATAGTTTAGCATTAGCAATTTCTTATAATTATATTTTTGTATAAATAGGATAGAAATTTGTCTTTATAAAAGGGCAGAGATAACAGTGTAAACTCAATAGTTCAAGTTCAAGACTTAGAATCCAAGATTAAGGATTGCTAAGGATACAAATCTCTACAATAAAAGAATCTCTTTCTAAACTACACACATTAAAAATCCTTTAATGTGTCAATTGTGTTTATCGTGGTTATAAATTGTTAAAGTTATTTTACTTGTCTAAAAGTATAAACCTAAGGTTGATTGTAATAATACTTATTTCACAGTAACTTAGTAGTTTCTCGCATGTTACTCCCTGTTATTAAGTCATAGTTGTCCTAAGTTTGACGGTTGAGCGTAGGATTAACAATGTCAACAAACAGATGAATCTGTAGATTCTTATGCTAATAAATTTAAGAAATTAGTGACTCGTGTAGGATTAACCGATAATGCACAGAAGAAAAGGATGTTCCTTATAGGACTAAATCCTGCTTACACTCCCCTAGTCTACTCACAAAATCCAGCTGATTTAGATGCTACTGTAAATTCTGCGCGAACTATTGAAATTGGATATAATTTCTCTTCTGGAAAAGCATCGAAAGATATTAGTATTATCACAGTTTCCACTCCTAAAAACGTGGTTACTAATGCTGAGGTGAATAAACTCACTAAGAAATTAGAATAGCTATCTATTAATTATGCTAATTTGACGACTGCTTTGTTAGCTCAACCTCAACAACCACCAAGGAGACAAACAGAACAAACCTATAATAATACTAATAGAAGACCCAGACAAAATATATCTTCCATGACTTATTACAATTGTAACAGAGAAGGCCACATAGCTAGATATTGCTCTCAACCTCATTAACAACTATGAGGAACTGATAGAAGACCTCGTTATGATAATACAAGAGACGTACATCTTGCTGACCAATATTATGAGAAAGAATATAATGATGAGAAATATACTTCAGAAGAATATTATGAAGAAGACGAATATGAAGTCTATCTTAACATTAGATCTGGATCTTATCCAAAGAATTCTGTGTTGAAAAATAAAAGAAGACCAGTAAAGTTTCAAAACTCACCTAAAATAACTGTTAAAGAATTAGATATAGAAGAATCAATACCAGAACATGCGATTGAACTAGTTAGAACTGAAAAAGCATTAAAAGCTCCTAAAAGAAGGTTGCTACCTGCCCCTATTGAACAACTAATAGTATTTAATGTCTCAACCTATTTACAAAACTTACCATGCAGATTATCAGTAAGATAAGCTGCACATGTTATTCCTAAATATCGTTCTGGTTTAGCTCGAGCTGTCAGACGCTTAAGAAAAAGAGTCACTGATAAAACCAAGAAAGCTAATTTAGTAGAAAGTGATGATGAACTAACCTCAGCCATGAAATGTACTTTGAGGATTGGACAAAAAGCTCAAACCGCAATCATTGATAGTGGAGCTGCTATCAGCATCATAACTAGAGCCTTAGTGAAAATTGGGATATAAAATAAATTGACCATCAAAAATGATAGTAGTAACAGCAAATGGTGCAAGGACCCGTTTTTTTGGAATTATCTATAATGTGCTAGTAAAGATTGGAAAAATTAATGTACCTATTTCCTTTTAAGTACTCGAATCTAAAGATGAAATCCTTATACTTGGAAATGATGGTTCAGAATAACTAATGCATCTATGAATTAGGAACAATCCATCCTTACTATTAAACAAGATGGAATTACTATGAAAATTTCCATTGCATTTACTAAAACAGCTAAAGTTGTGACTTAGAAAGCTGAGGACGAATATAAAAGTGAAAAATATGAGAACAAATATTTAGAAGAATATCCTATTTATTTATCTGACAATGTTGACTTAAAAGAATCAGAGTTGGACGATAAGTTAGGATTCAACCCATGGTCTGATCATTACTCTCCTATTCAATCTAAAAAGGATACTGATGATAATAAAGAATTAAATGAACAATTAGAAGACAACCCAGCTGCCTATCTTGCTGAGATCGCTGGATATACTACTAAAACTGATCCAACGTATTTGGAGCAATTAGGATCACTAAATTATTATTAACAGCAGACTTTTATGAATCTTCTAGGAAAATATTATGATATTTGTGCAAGAAGTCAAACAGATACAGGATGAACAACAGAAATCAAGCATCGTATCTATACTGGAACAGCTATGTCAATTACTCAAAAACCATGTCAGACTAACCCTGAAAATACCAGATTTTTGAACCAAGAGTTAAAAAAAATGGAAGATAATAGTATAATTCAACCTTTTTATAGTCCATGGGCCTCACCTGTCATAATTGTAGGAAAAAAAAGAGGTGAAAAAAAAACTATGTGTTGATTATCGAAAAGTCAATATTGTCACAAAAATTGACGCGTATCTATTACCAAGAATCGACGACTTATTAGATTTACTAGGTGGAGCAAATTGGTTTACTACACTCGACTTAGCTAATGGTTATAAGCAAGTAGCAATGCATCCAGATGATATTGAGAAAACTGCTTTTATTATAGCAAATGGATTGTATGAATTCTTAGTTATGCCCTTTGGTTTAAACAATACTTCTGAAACTTTTTAAAGGCTTATGAATTGGGTTCTCAAAGACTTTCTTGGATTATTTGTATCAGTCTATCTCGATGATGTAATTATCTATACAAAAAGACCTTTTGAATTACATGTTGATTATGTTAAACAAGTATTTCAAGTCTTTAGGGATGTTCATCTTGCAATAAAATTAAAGTGTTGTTTTTGTCAACCTTCTCTAACATTCTTAGGACATATCGTAGGACAAGGAGGAATTTAACCTGATCTAGAGAAAATTAAAAAGATTGAGGAATTTTTAGAACCAAAAAGTCTAATTCAACTACATGCTGCATTAGGACTATTTGGTTACTATCGAAAATTTATTAAAGATTTTGCATGACATACTAAACCTTTAATCTTATTATTAAAGAAAGATCAGCTCTTTGAATGGAGAGAAAAACAACAACATGCCTTTGACCGACTAAAGGAAAGGCTTATCAAGGCACCAATCTTGCAGTATTCAGATTTTGAAACACCTTTTACTTTATATACCAATGCTTCAAAGAAAGGATTAGGTGCTGTACTATTTCAAAAGAAGGATGGAAAAGAATATGTTATTGCATATGCTAGTAGATCGACCAACAAAACTGAGGAAAATTATCCAATCACTGACTTAGAATGTCTAGCAATTGTTTGGTAAATAAAGCATTTTCATCATTATCTTAGTTGACCATTCACCATCGTAACTAACCATGCTGCTTTAAAATGGCAAAAACCTTAAAAATGCTAAAAGAAAGACGTGCTAGATAGATCATGGAATTACAACAACATCATTTTACTATAGAACATAGAGCAGGAAAATATAATGCAAATGCTGATGCATTGTCTCGCATGTATGACGAAAAAACTGCTGAATGTTTTATTATTGATCTTACTGAAACAGATATAGCTGACGATGAGGATGAAAACATTAGTATAAAGGAAGATATAAAATAGCATATTTCTTTTCCCAAATCAGGAGAAAATGATGAATGGTTTGAAGAGGAATTGTCTCAGCAATACTCTAATACTGTCTTAATAACTGCCATTGAGTATAAATCTCCTAATGATGAATTAGAGGAAATTTACTGTGAAAACATAAAGATTAAACAAGTAATCGCTGGACAACCATCATCAGAGGAGAATCACAATGCACTTTCTCATGTGATACTGAAAACCATTATATTCATACATATTGTAAGGCATGCAAGAAAAATTTATTGTACAGAACTATTATACATGACTGTATCATTGGATATGGTTTAGGAAAAATTCAACCAGACATGAAACCAGAATACTTAACTAATGACCTCTGGTAGAAAGAACCTCTCTTAGTATAACAGGAAAACCTTCATGCACAATTACACTTTCACCTTGGTGACATTGATAATGCATCCTTTCCCTCTTATTAAATTAACCATTAATATAACATAAAGAATTAAGTGTAAGCGAAAGTGTTTACAGCATGATAAACAGCTTAAATTCTTAATCATAGAAGAACAATAATATAATCAATTATTTAATTATTTAATCAACTAAACATACCCTACTACCTTTAATCAAATACAATAACACAAATTAACTGTATTATCAAAACATTATATTATTAAACATAATTTATTATATAAAATTAACAAAAATAACCCAAGTAACCTAATTAGAGTACTCAAGAAAACAGAACTAAAACTTGCACTTTACATGTTTTACAATGATCCAACTGCTGCTCATAGTTCAAAAGAAAAGATGATAGAGAAAATTAGAAAACGTTTCTATTGGCCTCAAATATTTGAAGATATCAAGAACTATGCACAATCATGTGACTTTTGTCAGAAAAGAGGAAGAGCCTCAAGAATAGAACCTTTACATCCTATCCCTATAGGACAACCTTTTTATCATATTGGAATAGATTATATTGGACCTTTACCAACTTTAAGTAAAGAAAATAAGTATATAATCATTGCTATAGATTATTTAACCAAGTGGCCAGAAGCTAAGCCTGTAAGGCATAATGATGCAAAAACAATTGTACAATTTGTGTATGAAGATATAATTTGCCGACATGAATGTCCTAGAGAAATACTCACCAATCGTGATACTCATTTCAATAATTAACTGTTATATGAATTACTACAGAAATTTGAAATACCTCATAGAATGTCAACACCATATCATTCACAGACCAATAGATTAGTTGAAAGGTTTAATAGAACTTTAATAGAAGTACTTGCATGAACTACTATTAATCATCAGAGAGATTGAAATCGTTTTATTACCCCAGCACTCTTTGCCTATCGTACAAATGAACATTCTGTTATAAAAATGATATCCTTTTTCTTTGTGTATGGAAGAGAAGCTAAATTACCAATGGATAGTATAGAAATGGAAAAGGAATCCCTTTTACTCAACCATGTGGAAAAACAATTAAATCAGCTGCTAATTATTCGTAATACTGTTCAACAAAATTTGTAAAAAAAACAACAAAAACAGAAAGATCGACATGATGAAAAATTAAAGAAAATTGTGTTATACCAAATAGACGATCAAGTTTTGTATTACAAAGCAATGTTAGATAAGCAGTGGTCAGGAAAACTAGACCCAAAATGGAAAGGACCATACATACTATATACATGACATAATTGGGAATGGAGCTTACAAGATTAGGGAATTAAACGAAAAAGTTCTAAAAACCCCTGTAAATAAAAGTTTATTAAAAATCTATATAAATAGAGTAGATATTGATTGAACTTCACCCCTTTTCTCTAAAACTCAAAAAAATGGAATTATATAATCAAATTTTAGCAGACTTACATCCTTTTATCAGCACAATGATACTGCTTTACAACAAGTAAAATCTTTACTTTAACAACTTAGAAGAGTAAAAAGCTTAAGAAATTGAATCGAAATATTAATAGTTCTTTAGCATATAGGAAAGGCTATTGAAACTAAAACAGAATCACTAACTGAAAGAACTTAATATATGAACCTTCTCTTACCATACTACTGAAAAGTAGTCGTATAAGTATATTACCTATATGAATTAATTAGAATAGACCAAATTGCTCACACTAAGTATACAACTATAGGAATGCTTTCTCGTATTAATTGTGAACAATATCAACAGCTCGTATAAGAAGCTAGTACCATCGCAGAAGCTCAGATGTTAGAGAAAAAATTTGTTAGTGATAATCTATTTGCGTCACTAAATGACTGTGCCAACTAATGTCACCAATAATCATTAGGAAAATTGTGATCATCATTTTCACTAATTTCATTGCTATCACGGTTATCGTTGTAATAATTATTTTCTTTATTATTATCATTTTATTTAATATATTTATTTTCATAGTTATATTTACTTTTACTATTATATTTATTATTTCTATCTTATAATTGTATTTTATATAAATATCCTATATTGTCGCCTTGAAAAACTAACAAGTTTTAATTATACAATTAATAAAGTATAATCTTAATAATATAAAAACTATATCTTTGCCAATATCTATTTCCTTAAACATAAATCATCAATAAAGACAACCTGACCCTTTAACTTAAATAAATTCGTGTTTAT